CATCCACATCAACAGGATCAGGCACAGGATCAACAACCTCACCCTCGAAATTAAGAAACTTCCGACGCAACCCCAGCCGATGCCAGACCTGGCCCAAATGACGGGACCGGAGCACGTCGGCCGCGTTGACGGAGGGCGGATAATTGGCAATCGTGCCGTAATGCTCCGTGGACGTGGCCACCGAATGGCCCAGGGTCCGTGCAATGGTCTCGTAAACCAGACGGTACATCTCGAGATCTGCACTGACGGTTTTGGTATAATGGAACTCGATGCACCGCTTGAGGATCTGGCGCACCTCGCAAAACTTGTACTTGCGCTGGTTATCCATGGCGTACGTGAACCAATGCGATATGCCCCATCGGATCTTGTCCGTCAGCATTCCGTCAAACTGGTACAACTTGGTGCTGTTCTCCACGCGCGACAGCTCGACGTACATCCGTCTGAAGACGAGCACATACCACAAAAACAACGGCGACAACTCAGGCCCGATTTCCCGGATGATGGGGTCTTTGGCGTTGGCCGACTTGTTATAGTTGTAGCAAAAGCCAAACGTGGGGCCAAGAAAGTACACTCCGCGGTATTCCTTGGACGTGCCCTCCACCGATAACCGGTCGATCTCTGTAGAACGTGCCGGCAAGCACAGGATGTGGAGGAGCGTGATGAGGATAAGCGACAATTTGGAGTGCGCCTTCCGGAACAGGTCAATGTTGTTGTTATGGAGCGAGAGCAAGCGGTGCTTATATCGCGAATACAGCGGTACTCTCACGCATTCAGTGAACGAAACCATACCGTCGCTGAGCCGGGCGTTATCAACCGAATAGTCCAACTCCTCGCCATTCGACAAGTCCTGAATGGTTTCGTGTGCAAGATCGTACAACCGGCCGAATATTTTGCTTATCATATTCTTGTGGCCCACAACCACGTTGTCGCTGTTGAAGATGTCTCCCGTGGCAAAATTGAGGCGAAAGAGATTGCCCTCGCTCCGAGCCAACGATAACCCGAGATACGTATAATGGGTGCGCACCTGGGCCAATATGCGGTACAGACCGGTGTCCACAATGGATGGGTCCTCAGCCTGGCGAAGCGACACGCGGCGAGTGCGCGCCCGTTTGATGATATCCAACAAAATGCACATCTTGGTCACATAGCATATTCCGCTCAACGACCGGCAATACTGCTTGGTCGGATACTTAGCCCCTAGATAGCCGAGGTACACCACAAACGCATTCTCGGCTGACGACGACGTATCCTCTTCTTCTTCGTCCTCCTCTTCGTCATTATCGCCGGCAATGCCTCCATAGAGAGGATAGTACAAACTTGCCAAAGACGCTTCAGGCCCAGATGACATTGTTGTATTCATGGCCTCCAAATACACCTCAGGGTTCTCTTCGTTGTCGTCGCCGTCTTCATCCAATATGCCGGCGGCTATGGCGTCGCCCTCAATGTCGACCCAACTACTTGGATCTGGCTGGTGCTGGTGCTGGTGCTGGTGCTGGTGCTGGTGCTGGTGCTGGTGCTGGTGCTGGTGCTGGTGCTGCTCATGCCCCGCCACAGCAAGGTTTTCGTCAAAGTCCCTTTTGATGCAGTGGTCCATGATCCAATGCACGAGCTGGTCAATGTCGCGAAGGGACGACTCGGTAAACGTCTGGTCCAAGATCCGCGTGCGCTCGTCCGCGCTGGCACAGTGCGAGTGGCCCGACAACTTGTGGTAGTCGCGGGCATTGACCTCCAACACAACCTCGCCGTCAGTATACTTGTCAAGCATTTCCGTGAGCGCTATCGAGGACGCAGGTTTGGGTCCATACATCAATACCATGTATGCTAGTTCGGCCATGTACCTGCTGTATTGGACGCAGGTCAGGTATGTCTGGACCGCGCGGAAATACGTAGACGGGCGGCGGTTGAAGTTATGGAAAATAAAGTTATATTATTAAATAATTCTAAATTATATTTTTGTTATTGGTGGTGCCCCCGGTGTTGTTGGCGACGCCCTTAAGAATTCGCACCACTTCGAGTCCGGCAAGGTTGACGTGGTTGATGTTGGCACTGAAAAGGGTCATGGCACCCACCAAGAGCTGGGCAATCTTCGAAACCATACCGGCCTCCTTCATGCCTTTCACCTGGGTGTCCACTGTTTCTCGGTTCACTTCCTGGAGTATCTTTTTCACCAACGGATGGTGCTGCAG